AGCATTTAAATCAACTTGAAATAATACAAAAACAAATATTGAAAATAATACATAACCTACCAAAAACATATCCATCTGACGAACTAGTCAGAAAGTCTGAGTTTTTTGACATCAGACAACTCTGTTTCTACAGCCTTGCAATAGATCAAATACAAAAACAAAAAATCATTGAGTTATGTTACTTATAACTACCAAACGAGAAACAGAAAAAACTTGGCTAGAGTACTAACACTAAAAAAAAACTTTGTTTCTTAGGTCATATTCTTTCTTTTATCCTAGATAGTTTTAACATCGTTCCTTCTGAAATCAAATATATATAAAAAATTTGAATGAATTCAAAAAAGTGTCTCCTATCTACACCTCGAATAGAGATAAATTAAGAAATTGACTTAAATAATGTACTTACTTTGTGATTGTTATTATGTCTGGTTTGATTTTCTAATTGTGATTGTATACTTAAATTGTAATTACGTAACCTGTATGTGACTTATTACCTGATTGTGACCCTTTTAACGAACTGTGAGTGCTATATACCGGATTTGGATAATTTACATATATTATGGACGTGATATGTTACGTTGTCTTTATATTTGATGCTAGTCACCTACTACAAGGAGTGTTCCTTCCTGTGGGACTCTCATTTATTCGCTTATTTATCGCTTTTTTGCTATTTTATACATACTGTAATGAATTGTGCGAATAAATTATAATATACTATTGATATCTTATTTTGGGTCACATTGTATGTTTGGCATCTTCCCTGTATGCTCCAAGAACTATTACTATAAAATAGGAGGGCTTTACAAAAATCGACACGTCACCATGGTATCATCCCATAAGTCTGACCAGCACGTGACGTTCGGCCCCATGTCGATCCTGCTAATAAGACGACACCTGCGGGGGGCAGGCCCCCTAGGTGAGGCCCCCCATCGCTGGAGGCGACCCACCCGGAATCAACCTGTCGGCTCTAATCGAATTAGAGGTATCATTGTTCGGAAATCAATTATTCGGTTTTTCATTGATCGAGTGTACGGACGGGTTTTGGCATTGTCATCTTTTCTCGGTGTCTTTCTGGTGTTGGAAGTGGTTATATTTTTAGGTGCGCCCATAACACGGGCCGACAAGATGTTTACCCAGAAATCAGAGCTTTTCCATTTTTTGATCCGAAAGCGTAGCCCAAATCTGCATTGCATTGTAGCGATGGCCTATATAATAATCATCGATCGAAAACAAGGTACATTACTATACTGGGATCGCACTGTGCTTACGGACCAATGTATAAAACAAAACAGACCCGACAAAATCATTGTCGACAACAGCGATCAGAAAGCAATACTGATTGATATGGCCATACCTAACTAACAATTTGATAAACAAAATTAATGAACAAGTTGCAAAATACGAAGGCGAGTGCCAATGGAAAATGAAGTTCGTGGAGACAATAATAAATAATAATGGGTGATACCAAGAAGTCTGCTGGCAAATATCAAAGCGCTGAAACTAAGTGAAAACATCTACAGAATCATTCAGAAAGGAGCTTTAGTGACACTGCCGCATAGTAAGGAAATATATGGGAAACGCAAGAACCTAGGTCACTATATTGGGGCTTATCCCTTTGACGCTTGAAGCGTCCGGGTTAATCCAGAACCTCCCGATTAACAGGATTAACAAAATAATAACAATAAACGCATTTTATTGAAAGCGAAGTTTAGCTGGAAGCTATTCTGATACTTAACCCTTGAAAAGTACATAAAATAAAATAACATTTATAAACATGTAAAAGTAATATACCTAAGCATGTAATACTGTAGCCACAGTAAATAATGCATGTACGAGTATACCGAAAAGGAAAGATTTGTGAGAGGTCAAACTGTTGAGTACTTTCCTAAAATAAATTCTTTAATTTGTTTTTTAAATTCATTGCAATTTAGTGATCTTCATGCCTGAGGTACTTCATTCTATATCTTCTGTCTGTAACCAATTAATTATACTAATCTTGTTCAGAGACTAACTGAAAACTGCCTTATCAATATCAGGCCCTTTTGTAGCAATATGGATCTTCTCGTCAATTTTTCATATGTTTGCTATGATCGCTCAATAAATGTTATTCTATTCCATTCTAAATTTATCAGTTGGCTCTAGTTATCGAGATATCCTAAGCTAAAAGTCGTAAATAACGAGGAAGAATTATATTGATATATTTTTTTCAAATAACATCATCATCTCAAATAACAGGCACTGGCCTTTCAAGTGCCGTTGAATTTGTGTATTTTTTTTGTTTTCGTCAAGAAATTTTCAGTTTTCTGAATTTCACTATACTCGACACTATACTTGAATCATATCTAATTTCATTAATATTATCCCCTGAATCCCCCTATAGCCCCACGGTACCCCATGGGATTTTAGGCCTTAGGCCTTCGTGGTTGTTGGAGTATAAAAAAAATAGAATAAATGAGTATTTCTGAGCATTTGGCTTAGTAAAACGAAATATATTGATATCGATAGCGCAAGATTGATATAACGGGTGATTTTTTAAGAGGTATAGGATTTGATTTTCAAAAAAAAAACACAAAAAATTTGAAAAAACGATTAAATCTTTATTTGAGTCGATAGAACGGTCGATATAATTTAATGTTTAAAGATTATTTCATGTAAATGTTGGCCGCGGCCCCGCTTTAGATGGCCCATGCGCAAGGTCCAATTTTGGCACACTCTCTCCAATCGGCCGGTATCTCACGAATAAATGCTTCAATATTGGCTTCCAGTGCGTCAATCGTTGTTAGTTTATCCCTGTAGACATTAGCCTTAACATGGCCCCACAAGAAATAGTCCAACGGCGTTAAATCACACGATCTAGGCGGCCAATTGACGGGCCCCAAACGTGAGAGAAACTGTTCACCGAACTCGCCCCTCAATAGGGCCATTGTTTCGTGTGCGGTGTGGCATGTGGTACCGTCTTGTTGAAACCACATGTCAGCCAAGTCCAGCTCTTCCATTTTGGGCAAAAAAAGTTTGTTATCATCGCACGGTAGCGCTCGCGATTCACAGTTACGTTCCGGCCATTGTCGTCTTTGAAGAAGTATACGGATCGATGATACCACCGGCCCATAATACACACCAAACAGTGATTTTTTCGGGATGCATTGGTAGCTCTTGCAATGCTTCTGGCTGGTCTTCACTCCGGATGCGGCAATTTTGCTTGTTAACGTCTCCATTCAACCAGAAATGAGCTTCATCGCTGAACACAATTTTTCGATAAAAATGTGGATCTTCCTCCAACTTTGCCAGCGCCCATTCACCAAATTGGAAACGTTGTGGGAGGTCGTGTGGCTTCAATTCTTGTACCAGCTGTATCTTATAAGGTTTTACACCCAAATCCTGTCGCAAAATTTTCCACGTAGTGGAGTAACAGAGGCCCAGTTGCTGCGAACGGCGGCGAATCGACATTTCACGGTCATCACTAATACTGGCGGATACAGCCGCAATATTTTCTTCAGTCCTCACTCTACGTCTGCGTGTTGGTGGTTTAATGTCCAATAATGTAAACCGGGTTCGAAATTTAGTCACAAGCTTTCGAATAGCTCCCTCAGAAGGCCGACCAAATTGCCCATAAATTGGAAGCAGTGCTCGATGCACTCTCTTAACCGAGAATGAATTTTGATAGTAAAATTCAATAATTTGCAAGCGTTGTTCGTTCGTAAGTCGATTCATGGTTAAATTATAGACCAAACTGAACAAGTTTGACAATGACACAAGACACGATTCACGCGTCATCTGTCAAAAACAGTGCTGCCAAAAAGATACTAGCAAAAAAATCACCCATTATAAGCTCAATTTAAAAATATATATTTTATAGTGTCAACATAAAACGGTCGTGATGTGACATAAAAAATGGAAACCAAAAAAGTTCATCCGTATGGCACTCGTGAATTAAGTCAGACTTTTTTAAATATTTCTGAACTATTAATCAACGTAAAAAGTTATTGTTTTCTCGTTTTATTGAATAAAAACAATCCTGGACGTTGGCTTCCTAAAAGCAGAAAGCACACGTTTGCCGAAAATTGACACATTGATGCTTAGTATTTTTTTGCGATCAACCCAGATTTCTGCTCTGCTGAGCTGAGGAACATCAGGACTTTGATGTAATACGTACAGTGCATTTGATTTAATTTTGGATATAAAAAGAAAGGATAAGTAATACCGAAGTCATAGTAGGTTACGTCCAACTTAAACAAGACGATAAAATCTGCGCAATAAAATGTAAAATAAGTCCCAATCAATACACAATGCTGGGTATATTTATTTCCCTGACAGCTCTAATTCACAGTTTTCTTTGGGTCTTTATCGATGTGTTTCTAGACGTCATGTTTATTGTTAAAAATGTTTTACGGTCTTTTAGGACTGAAAAAATATAGAATTAATTTTTTTGGACTAATAGAACATTATATTAACTATTCAAGAGCTACTTAAGAAAAAATTTAATAACGAGTTGATCTATTTTTGTGAAATAAGACCTACCAACACTAATTCCATAAAGTATCTAAAACTTACCCAAGCCCACAATGAACCTATCATGGCCGAATTTACCGTTCTTACTTTCATTTACACTCTTTCTTAAAATAATAAATTACTTCTTCAGATAAAATCTAAACCGATCTAGATAAGAAAAATGATAATTAAGAAGTATTATACATCAGCGAAAAAAAGAATATTTAAGCCCAACTTAACTACATTTGAAAGGGTGAGGTGTGTAGTTTGAGATGATAATGCCTGAATTTCCGATAATTTTAAATAACGATGCTGCAACATGTGCTCTTAGTTATTATGGGTTTTGTTAAAAACGATAACGTTTTTGAAAAATAACAAGAGTAAAAAAAGTTTTACAGTTAAATTTTACATAAACCTTTTTCTGCAAATTTTAATGTTTTAAGTTCCCTTGCTTGCTTCTGCTCTGTATCGGTTTTTATGCGAAATACCCTATATGAAAATATTTGTTACAGGACACCCTAGTAAAAATCAAATCTGTACTGGTGGATGAGAAGAAACACATCAGGTTTGGAGACTGGGATTCAAAAGATGTAAGTAGTGATTTCTATCGTTTTTTTATTTTCAAAGTTCCTATCTCTCATTAGACTAGGGATTCACGACTTGACTTGATTTTCAAGCTACTTGAGTTGACTTGATATTGTCTAATATCAAGTCGAGTAGTTCTTACGTATGTCTGTCAAGTATTGGACAATGCAAGCAGTCTTGATATTACTTGATAACTTTTGTAATTTAAATGCGAGTCGATTATAAATACCCAACAACAAGAATATTTGTCACAAGTTACAGAAAAAACAATACATATTCAACAAAATAATTTCTTCGGTGTATAAAAAATAATAGAACTATAAAACATCTAAACTTGCTTGTTTAGGTGTTTTTTAATAAGATTAATTTAAGTCTAGATTTTTATATTTATAAAAATCTGTATTGTGTGGCCGGGTTATAAGAAAATATAATTTTCATAGATGAGGCTGCATGACCAAAAAGTGGTTGATCCTGCGCTGATCTTGCCCCGACCCTGATTTTTTTCTACCGATTTTGTCCTTGAATCTACAAAAGAACTACGCAATTTCCTTATGGAAATCGGAGTTCCGTTAAATTGGTGGAACTTCTGATATGTTTCATATCTCACCGGCAAAATGGTTGAGTTGGAATTATTTCATCCTATAAAGTACATAAGTTAGTACATTCACCATTTCAAGTAAAAAGATACAAAACAAGGTTTAGAAGTAAGTTTACATCAATTTTTATTAAACAAAACATCCAAAATAACCTATTACCTGACATTGGAATATTTCCGCGTTAATGATAATAGGCATATTCACGAGACTACAGTTCCATCAGGCAGTTAGGTATATCAGATATCCAGTGTAGCTGATTTATTTTGCGATTTAATTTTGAACAAAGAATTCTAAGGTTTTACAAAATGCCACGATATTTGTGATAGAAGCATTTCTGTATTGGTTGGCGTATTCTCTAAGAAGATGTGAAACCATATGCTGTATTAGGACGTTCACATACAATTTCCATCGTAACAGCCATATTGCCAAATCTTAACATTTTGCAAGATCTAAGAAAATTGAATTGCAACATAAATCAGCTACACCGGAAAAGTGATACAGGTGGTTGATGGCACGGTCGTCTCATGAATCTGCATATTGTCATTTATCATAATCGTAGAAATATTCCAGATTCAGACAATAGGTTATTCTGAACGACACATATCGATTTCGTGTTTTTTTTTTGTGCAACGCTGTTTGTATGCTTCATTTGAGACGTCAGTGAAAAATGATGATGTTCTACGTGATTATCTGTATTAAAATGCAAAATACGGCTCATCGATTGTAGAAGTGAATATCACTGAAGGTGTTTAGTAGAACAAAAATATAATTTGCCATCAACAGTATCAAGTGGTCTGAAACTGCAAAACCTCAAAAAGTCAAGTAGAACAATAAGAAAATCAAGTCGAGTCAAGCATTAACATCTCGAGTAATTTTATTGCCAAGTCGTTTATAAAAATATTAAGCAACTCAAGTTGATGAATCCCTACATTCGACATAAAATAGTAACTTCCATTAGAAATCAGGAACTTTCCCAAGAAAAGAAAAAAAAATCATTTATTGGTAAAACTTTCCTCCTTTATTTTTTGCTATCTAATATTTGTCATCGTCTGTTTTCTCTGCGGTGGTGTGGTGAATGAACCGTTTGATATATAGCGTGTGAAAACGATCCTGTCATTCAAAAAAAGCGACCCCGCTGTGCGCCTAAATGTTAACAGGACGGTGGTGAATTGAATGACTGTTCGGAACACCAGGTGGCGATATTAGACAGTATTTTGGTGCTTTACAGGGGATTTTTATGACATCGATGATAAAAAATGCAACCCAAGCATCATAAGCTACCAACTCAAAGTTACAGTTATATGCGGATGCTACTCAGCTTCTCTAGTCATTTCGCTCAGATGAAGTGTAGTCAACGCCAAACAAAGTGGCGTGCACGTCATCACGATAAAAATTCCCCGGCCTAATGCCTAGGTTTCTATCACAAACAATTGCTCTATTGCAGTTTCATATTAATGTGATATATAAATTGTAAAATGGTCATTACTCTCTTATTATGGTTAATAGTCATATAAACATTGTTATTAAAATATCACATAAGTTGCTTTCTGATAAATTTAGACGCATTATGCGAAATAAAATGTTTTGCAAACGCTCCAATCACTTATCGACATGTAAACGCACTAAACCGATTTCGCAGCGTTGACACATTGTCACCTTGAAACTTATTTAAACTGGGAACTGACATTTGTATTAATTTTGACACTGAATCAATTTGTGGCATTTCAAATCTTTATAAATCCTTTGGCCCCGCATACTGTAGATCAACAACTGTTTGTTTCAAAACAAAATTATTCATTTTACGAGTAGATAAAGGCAATTTTGGTATATAAAGATGCCCAAACAGTTAAATAGTCGGTGTAAGGAACTCGTGGCCTCGTTAATGCACTACTTTGAGCAAGAAAGGGACAACAACGGGCCTTTGTTGCCTTTAAATGCTGTTCAAGAGGTAGGTTACTAATAATTATATGTAATGTATATTAATAATAGTGAAATTTTATTTCATTTTTTGTAGCGTGTTGCTGCTGCTTTAAAAATTAGTTTAAGGACAGTTAGTCGTATTTCCGAGGGTGTGAAAAGTGATGCAAATTTAGAATCGCCCAAGAAAAAGCGGAGTTATATTAAACGTGTAACCAACACAGCGACATTGGATACAAGTGCCATTCGAGAAGTGATCTATAATATGTATCACAAAAGTAAGATCTTATTATAATAACTTATCAGAAATTTGCATTAATTTGTTAACTAAATTATAATGTCATATTACACATGGTTTCAGAAGAACAAGTTACGATACAAACTTTATGGTCTCGATTAAGAGATAGGGCATTATTTGATGGTAGTGCCACGTCTTTAAGGCGGTTGCTTAGAGATCTTGGATTTAAGTGGCTTAAGGACAATCCGCGACGAGGGCTCATGGAACTACCAAGTATAGCTTTGAAAAGGCTGGAATTTCTAAGGCAATACAATCAAGCCAAGGTTGAGGCCTTATACCAGTTTGTCTTCCTCGATGAAACTTGGATATTTCAAAATGGGACCATAGGTCGCTCTTGGCAAAATGGAAACCAAAAAAGCGTGAAAGCTATTAAAACAGATGGTAAAAGGTATGTACTTTTACACAATTTGCACTATAAAATTTAAAACTAATATATTTTAGATACATTATATTACATGCTGGAAATGAAAATGGGTTTATTGAGGGTAGTGAAGCGATATTTTCCTCGAAAACAAAATTGAGCGATTACCATGGAGAGATGAACCAGGACAATTTTTTGAAATGGTTTCAACATCAGTTATTAGAAAAATTGGAGAGTCCATCTATGATTATACTGGATAACGCCCCTTATCACAGCATGATATTGAACAAAGTGCTCAACAATGCATGGACAAAAAAAAATATCCAAGACTGGTTGACAAATCAAAACATACCATTTTTAAACACAATGTTTAAAACAGAGCTATTGAGTATTGTTGCTCGGTACATAATGCTTCTTAATTATAGATTATTTTGGTCGACAGTTTATATTTCTTTTGTTTATTCCTATTCTTAAAATAACTGCTTTTTTAGAAACAGACCACCTAAAATATACGTGATTGATGAATTGGCGGAACAACATGGGCACAAAGTTCTTCGTCTGCCTCCTTACCATTGTATATTTAACCCTATTGAGTTAATTTGGGGCATAGCAAAAGGTTACTATAACAGACATATTGGTAGAGATGGTAACAGTGAAAAAGACTGTTTGGATATGTGGAACGAGGCTCTACAAACGGTTACCCCAGACATGTGGAAAAATAGTGTTCGACATACTGAGCAAGAAATTTTTAAATGGTATGAAAGAGAACGAATTTTTGATCGACCAGACATCGAACCTTTAATAATCAACTTTGAGAGTGATGAAGATTCAGATTCAGACAGCGCTGAAGAAAGAAACTCCGACTAACTTTATTGTACAGAAAAAGCTTACACCAGTAGCTTACCTAATTTTAGAATGCATTTTTCTGTATGAATTCTGTAAAATAAATACCATGCATAAAATTTGGAGGACCCCATTTGAATTTTTATTCAGTACCTTTAAGCTATCAATTAAATATGGTAGTTTCATAGTGTCATCTGATCAATAATTGTCATACTTAATGATTATGCAAGTACAGATCTATAATTTTATTATACTATTATTTTTGTTCTCATTTGAGGTTAATATTGCTTATAAACCTAGATATGTAAATAATAAATTTTATTATTTTACAAAAAGTTTGGCAACAATGTAAATTTTTCAACACACCCACCTTGATGACGTGCACGCCACTTTGTTTGGCGTTGACTATAGATGAAGGTTGTCGTAGAATTTGCGCTGACCACGAAAGTGTCTCCGATATCCCACAACAGCTTTCCTTGAACCTTAACCCTGACAAGTAAAATTTTATTACTTTTGGTCCCAAAAAGGTTAGACATCTTAGGCAGCAGCGGTGGCCGCAGTAGTAGACTCTTCGGTCTCCTGATTAGTCGCCGTGCGCTGTGCGGGTTCGAGTCCCGTCCCAGGAGAAATTTTTCTCTTGGCTATGGATGTTGTGATTTTCCGTAGGTGGTAGACGGTCTCTGACTGTCGAACGCGGAGGTACCACCCGGCGGATCTCGTAGGCGGAGCCAGAATGTGTGCATGTTGCATGCACACGTGTTCCCTCGCCAGAGTCCGTGTGGCGTTCCCCCTTTCCAATGTATCCCCCTATAGCCCCATTATAATATCTCCAGAACATATAATGCTGTCCCTCAATACTTAAAATCCAATTCGCTAGATTCTTGCACAAAATACTACTCCAGGTTTCTGAGATCTTGCTATAGTAATGTACCATATTAAATATCTATCACCTATATGTATATGATTACATCTATCTCCTATTGTATTTTTTTCCTTCCTATCTGAATTTTGTCACTCTTTCTTAATTTGTATTAAGTGCATTATGTAGGGTTAAGTGGAAGACCAGCTATTCCCCCTAGGAAAGAAAGCTGAACTTCGCCTTTTCCGGGTAGCAATACATCCTTGTACCTTGCTATCAACGAATAAAGATGATTATTATATATATATATATATATATATATATATGGATTTCAAATGGCATTCAGGTTATTTAAAGCTGTCGAGCAAGGCAGGAGTTTTATCAAAGAGTAGTTACACCAATAGAAGACAGACAGGCGAATTATTTCAGAGAGATAAGAGATGTAGTCCAAAACGTGGCACCCTCAAAACAGTTTATGGCATCTAAACCTGTATGTTATTTGGTCGGAGATAAATGCGGTATTGCCAGATGGATAATTCTTTTTACATGAATTCTTTGTCACTTGTCTTGAAAGCATTTTCCGTTCAGATTTCCTTTTGGTGGGACATTTATTCATTGTGGGGATATTTATCATCCGTTTGTAGACTATGGAATATATTTTTCATTCAATAGAGTGATAAATTACTTTTCGCGAGGGTTCTTCGAATCATGTAAAAAGTAGTTTTTCTCCATACCTGTAGGTTATCAAATAGACATTTACGTTTTAGGGCGTACTAGCAATATTACACGATTTAGTCTAATAATAAAAGAGAAACGTCAGCTTGGAATTCAATTTTTTTTTTAAATTGTGTATTTGACCCATAATCAATGTATTCGTCATGGTTGGCTGTTATCTAGACAGATTGGCGTTAAGGCGATATGTTCACTTGACTTTTTGACGTAATCATCAAAAATCGTGAAAAGAACTGAACTGCATTCCGCTCAGTATAAATGTAATGTTTTCTAAACATTTTATGTCAGTTTGGCGACACCGCCTCGGTACATGCAAAGAACTGCGCGGATCGTTAGCAGACCTTCGAGCCCACTATGAGAGAATCGCCAAACCAAGGACGGTTTGGCGAAAAACGATTTTGATACGTAGTTATACACGCTACGTATCATATAAGTTATTTTAGATAATTTCTGTGATAAAATGATGTGTGATCATCAATAAACACTCCAAGGAATTTCACAGGTTCTATTAAATTACTTTTGTGTGGACGAGTACGGAATAAAAGATATTGAATTTTCGCTATATTAGGGGAGAAGCTGTTTAAATTAAACCAGTTTTGTATCTTGTCAAAATGCTGTTGAGAATCAAATAATACCTGATTAAAATTGTTTTTTTTTTTGGCAGGTCATTGATGTAAATCAAAAACAGAATGGGCCCTAAGATACTTGCACAGTACAGTGTTAGATGAACAATTTTGTAAACTGATAGATAAGACGTGATCAACGACAGACTGTTATTACAAAAACCTTACAGCGACAACTTTTGAAGCAAAATGTGATGCTGCATGACGATGTTGCAATCAACTGCTTTTGTTAGATCGTAGAAGCTAGCTATGGCGAACAGGTTATCTTCAAGACATTTGTTAATAAAACTAATAACTGATAAATAATATAATAAGGGCATTTAGCTTGATCGTCTTGTCTTGACTTAGATTTGCTTGGTGTTTTTTTTTTTTTTAGCTTCAAGCTTCAAGTATAATACTGTGAATAAGTAGATATTGGGTTATTCGTCATACAATCTTTATGCTGCTAGACGTATAAGGTTTTCTTTATATATGAATGCGGTTGTCCATCCCGCCTGAACCACAATACAGAGCTACGTAAAATTTTGTGCACTTATTAATTGATACCCGAAGAAGTTATGGGCATTGTTTTATCCGCGAGCTCACCGTCAATATTGTAATCAACTTTAACGTCAGGTACCAAAATCTCCACCGTCAGCGTCAAGCCGGCAAGAAGCACCCAGCCATCGCCCCACTCGACCTGAGACTGTCAAGCGATACAGACATTTTTGCACGAAAAACTATGTCTCTCATTTCCGTCGGTCTGTCCGATAATTTTATAACCCCCTATAACTTGAGAAGACCCGCTCGGATTCTGAAATTTTCACATAAGGTTACTACTAGGCTAAGGATGGAAAAGCTTTGTAGTTCGGTCCAATTGTGGCGGAGCTAGGGGCAAAAACACGAAAATAATTAAAATCGCTTAAATTTCGATTTTTGACGTTTCAGAGGCTCGTGATCATTTTCGGAAATTTTTTTGTAGAGCTTGAAACTTGCGGGGTTTGTGGTTGTAGGCATTTGGAGATTGTAAATGTACGTCTTTAGTATTACTCAAAGACGTTCTATCATCAAGAAGCTTCTGATCCCTGTATCAACGTGAAAATTAAATGATAATAATTCTAAACAACTGGCAATCGTTGGCCTTGTGTGCACGGCGCGATGCTGCGTCGTCGTGGAAGCCAGTGTCCATTGTGCAATGGGTAACAAACTCCATCTGGTCTACAGTGGTGACGTCACTGACACATCGTTACACCATATATCTACACATGTATTTTTCTGAATTTTATGTTCCTAAAATGTACCAACCCATTACGCCTAACGCCTAATTTGTGTTGCTCACTCTATAATGATTTTCTGAATATTTCGTCAAGTAGATTAACTCAATACTTATGACGCATTGATATAAAACAGATACGGACTGACATACCGGCATAAATGAGAAACACGGACTTGTGAACCGAAATTCGAATGTTATTACGAATTTAATATTTCTATCGTTTAGGTTAAAAAAAATTGATTCAGAGATTCCTACTCATTTTTAGACATGATTTGGAAGGGATGAAAATTGTTGGACGGAAGCTGTATGCGGTAAATGGTTGTAAATTGTTGCATATTTGATGTCAATGAAAGACCTTCTATTATTAAGAAGCTTTTGGTCTCAGTGATACTATGCGGCTGTTAGACATAAGTGACACATATTTTCCCTGTATCTGCCATGGAAATAAAAATATGATAGATTCATCCTCCCTAAGTGAGCCTACCTAATCATTCGATTTCGCCTTTGAGACGATTTGAAACCTCCGAACGAAGGCGTAGGAAATATAGGGCCAATCTACTTGATACCATTTTTTATGTAATGCTATGAGCTTTCGATCACGTTTTGTATCTATGATGGAATTAGTAAATTTACAACCAACTTGCATGCTTAGGAAATTTATCTAAATTGCTAGAATAAGCTAATAAATAAATGAAATTGAAAAACTTATGATTACGCCCTCGTATATGCATTTTATCTATTGTCTACCTGTCGAGCCTTAAGGCAATAAATATATTCAACCATTCATGGTCTCAGATTCTAAATGGCGCACCTTTCACGCTTAGTAACAAAACCGTGGTTGAAATAAATAGCGTCCAATGCTATCAAACATAGATCGAGCATAAAAAATGCTTGTAAGGATGATACTTTGTAGGTGTAAATACAAGCTTCGTTTTGATACAACACAATATTACTGATTTTATCGATTGCAATTGAATGAAAGCCATGTTGAACAACTATGAACGAGTCACCATCGAAGGAAATAATGGAAAAGGTCGTGTCACTAGCAGCGCTTTAATAGCGGTCTAGGTATGAATGAAAATTAAAATTATGTACAAGGTGGTTCTGAAAAAATGCTTGTCTTGAATCGGTTGATTACAGTCTCATCGAAAACGATAAAACCGTATTTCATAACTTAGTCGATATGTGCAATGGCACATTGCCAGGACTATTTTTATTTTAAATTTTATTTTTGTCAATGTAGAATTTACTCTTTCATACCCGATATATTTTGTTACAGATTGAGGTGCTTAACAAGTATCTGTTTTTAACGTCAAAACCTGCCCTCTATCTAGTGAATTTGGCAGAAAAGGACTACATCAAAAAGAAAAATAAATGGTGAGTAAATTATTTCACTGCCAGGTTTCGATTTCTAGTTGATAAATTTTTTAAAGATTTTGTAAGCAATAAAAAAGTAATCAAGCCCATTGGTTAAAAGTACTCAACCTTTAGATAGATAGAACCAAACGCTCAAACTCTTCAAAATAGAATATACCTCAATATTGTGTATATAAATGTGAATGTCTATACGGTCTGTCAGCATCACGTATAATACACAATTTGTACATTTACTAAGTGAAATCAGAGGAAGGTTATGGTTTAATCCGTGAAGATATACAGGATGTTCAAAAAGTATGGATACATCAAAATATCTCGAAAAGTGCGTTTCCTAGACAAAAATGTTGTAGAACAAAATTGTAATGTTTGATCAGGTTTATCAGATAGTGATTTCGAACCTGACCTTGACTATGACCTTTAAGGTCATTTGAAGGTCGAGAAAGTTTTCTTAAATGAAACTCCTATTTTTTATACCAGAAATGTGAAGAGCAAAAAATTTTAAGTTAAATATGTCTGTCTATGACCATGATCTTCATGGATATTTCATGGCCATGGTATCTAGGGAAGTAGGAAATGAACAAAATATCTCGAAAGATCTGTTTCATAAAAATAAATAAAGTTGTAAGATTCTTCTAATGTTGACCTGGAACGTGACCTACCTTTTCAAGTATGCCCATTACCTATACCGTTTCCCATAATCTCAGTATGTACTCCAAAAAAATAGTCTATAGCACCTTAATTCTTCCCTTCCTTCTTTATATTGTTCAACTATTTTGCTTATTGCAAATGAAAACATATTTTCAAAATTACAAATTCTACAAAATAAGGCTATGAGAATCATTTCAAATAAAAACAGATATGCGAACATTAAGTCTATGTTAGAAGAACTGCAGTGGTTGAATGTAAAAAATTGTATTTGTTATTTAGTTCTTCACAAAATTAAATAGTCATTATCACATCTACGAAACTAGAGCCAGTATAGTTTTTCATGCAAAATTGTAATATTAGCATAACTAGCAAGTCTGTATTTCAAAAGGGAGTATGAACTTAATAAATTGAATAATATTATTAAACAATGTTCAGATTTAAAAGTGTGTTAGGGTGGAATTGAAAAATCACTTTATGAATACCGAAAATGCATACTGATGTAACTTTAATAGGCAAGAATGTAAAATTACAGAAAATTGATTCCAAAAGTGTAGGAATAATTATACAAAATTGATATTGTAGCATTTATATTAAATAAATCTTCAACAAACAAACATAATCTTGAGTAAAAATGCCTATTGCCAATGTAACTATTGCTTTACTTTGAGTATTGCGTTTCTTTCTCCTTCTTCCTTCACATTCAAACAAAGCTAATTACCTTCATTTTACACTATTACTAATAAGTATTTATTAGAATGATCCATTGCGCTTTTAGGAGCTCCCTTGAAGAAATTAAGTTTACTGAGTTCTTCTTTGTATAAACTTTTGAGACAGTATGAACATTACTGAGTCCATCTCCATCCATAGTCAATCAAGTCCATCTCAACATAATAAGCATCGCGTTCATCATTGCGAACTACTGGTTTGTGTGTTACCACCGAAGTGCGTTGAATACTAAATTAAGAGCGATTGATGATGTTCCCGAGTGGCTGCCGGTTAGGTCGGAGCAGATCAAAGCCAATCAGCGACCATTATGGGCCCAGTGAGGGTCGTTCAACAGTAATTAGTTGTCGTCACCCGATCGAAGCCGAATCACAAGTGGGGTGATGCCGGAGACGGTGCTAGGTAGTGTGATAGATGGTTTATTTTTGGTCTGCTCATCTCAAATATATATATATATATATATATATATATATATATATATGGCGTATAGTTTTATTGTAAGAAATAGTGGTGATCTCCACAACTCCTTTACACTGAAAATACCGTACTATGCTTATGTAAGATCTAAGCTTGAGTATGCGTCCCTGGTATCGTATCCTCATCATCAAATATATATTGACCGCTTAGAGTCCGTTCAAAGAAAGTTTTTAAAATACCTCTCATACAAAGCTGACGGGATATATCCTGCTATTGGCTTTCCTCATAGTGAGTTGATGGTGATTGGTGAGACACAAAATCTATAATTTAGGGAGCAGACGCAAAAACAATTCACTTAAGTTCACTCACAAGCTCATCCATGGATGGCATTATTGACTCCAGTGTCATCTTAGAACAACTTAACTTCTTAATTTCTAGATTAGCGTCACGAACTAGTTTAACTTTTTACTTAGCCAGGCCTAGGACTGACATACTTAAGTTTTCCCCTATCTATATAATGTGCCGTAATTATAATTCAGTTAGTAGCGTTTTAGATATATTTTCGTTTTGTGCGACTTTGGGATACATTAATGCTCATTTTCGTTAATGCTTGCCGGTGTGATTGTTGAGTGCTGGGTAGGTAAAGCTACAGCGCTTTTTTCTTCGACGTTCTGTTTTGAGGTTTTTTTTTGCAGCGTTTTACCTTTCTCTACATAAATCCACTAAATGCATTTGTTTATATTTTCATGTTTATCCATCCTGTAATTGGCTATGGCTGTTGAATGTTGCTAAATAAATAACATTAAAAATTTATTAAATAGCTAGTCATGATTTTTATTTATAAAATATATAATTTATTTGCATCATCTCTATCTGCACGTACGTCTATAAATCCCGATTATCATTTTTATGATACCAGACACAAGCAGGATTTCCATTTAAACGCAAAACTGCTCTATGTCTATGAAAATGGGTTTCCATGAAGGCCTAATGGATTTCAACAAATTATATTCAGATATAAAATGACAAAATAGCCTAAACAATTTAAATCAAAACTGAGAAACTCTGTGTTAGAATTCCAAATATGACGATGCACCATATAGTTTCAATTTATTATTATTGTTATGTATTACTCCTAATGGTCTGCGTAGCCATATGGGCTAAATAAATCTTTCTACTACTACTACTACTACTACTACTAACTTGCCATATTTCAGTTTCGAAAATATGTTTCTCATACAGCCATTATAAAACCGCGTCGAATTACACTTTTTATCCAGTCCGTTTTGATACCAAGACCATAAACCATAACTTCTCTGGATTGCGCAGGTGTTACTTTAGACACCCGATTTCTGCATTCGCCTTTAGACAGCCATAAAATCGCCATTTGTAATGTTGAAAGAACAACCCTTGCGAACAATTAAGGACACATTGTGACCGTAAAAGAAACCCATCACAGAAATTTTCCAGCTGTTGTCCTGTGACACCTGCCTGACATAGGGACAAGCATATCGCATTCTTTTTTTTTTTGAAACGACGAAAGGCATTCAAAACCATACCGAATTAATGAAATCTGGGCCGAATATAAACCAAAATTGCCGTAATTAGGACGGAATCGATATCATCCTTGGTAGATAATAACACCCTGTCAATACCAAGAAATCTAATTTTGATGATCGTTTGGTCGGTGGTTGTGGTTTGAACCTACTACAGATATTACATCGGACGAATATTATGGATGGTGATAGCTTTCTAATAGAGGTATTCTTCAATTTGAAGCATATACCTCGCGTGAGTGTTGAATATTTGTTTTCAAGTATACTGAGTACTAAGTACCTTCTCGGGTGGTCAAATACAAACTGAACACGACAGTAACATAATTCAGACAAAAGATGGAGTCGAGTAAGTTGACTCTGTACTTCCACGCTACGCTGTCATCAGTTCGTAAATAATTATGTTTAGAACAAGTTAGCCATTCTAAGAAAAAACGTAGTTTCGAACATGTATAACAAAAAAAAATGACCTTCCTCCTTATCCTGAGAGGAATTGCTGCAGGCGCACTTGATCGATGCGATTACCAATTCCCCGTGAATGACGATATTCGCCTTCACCATTTACAGTGCAGCCCATAGCATTGGCGACTGTGACGTACCCCGACAGACGACGACGCTTATCCATGGGGATACCACGTCGCACGTATTCACACCCGGCTGTAGATATTTAAGTTTTATGAGTAAATGTACAGCAATATCTATGATGAGTGAAATATGCCTAATATGTGCGTAGAATTACTGAGGTTGGAGGCGTATAAATATACTAACGTCAAAAAATTGAGATATACCCTTCCTCGCCCCCTACAACCCCTAAATCCCAATTTTTAACCCCTACAAAAATTTTGCCGAAGGTCAGGATCGTCTGAATCGAAAAAAAATTTTTGTTTTTGACCTACAAGCCAACGAAAATGAGTGCCTTTTTTGTGATGTACGTGTCATGTAACATCCAAAAAACATAATATATCATTTTCGAGAATTTTTGCGATTAGAAACAAAACATTTCATTATAAAGGTGTTCAAGAACGAATGCCTGTCACTTTATAGGCCGTAAAAATGTAGGGTATCAAGATCGTTCAAAAGGGTTTAAACGAGTCGTGTCTTTGAAAGGAAGTCGCTCCCAGTCTTCTTCTCTCCTGCTCACTGGCAGAGATCGACTTGTTACTTTGAATACCTGCAGGCTTAGTGCTCTCACCAGCAAAACTGTGGATCATATTGATCTTACAGGGAAAAAAGGTCATTGCTATTTAGTATGTAGAATGTCGGAGCCAAGACCGGTCCGTGGGGAACACCCGCGTTCGCTTTGTGGGACGAAGAAGCGAACCCGTCAGTTACGACGGATACGTTGCGGCTAGAGAGGAAGTCATCAAAACTTCTCTGAGAGGCCGTATGTTGGAGGTTTGCATTATTGCTTTTAAAGAAGTTAATTCGTTTCAGGTTAATCAAGATCAAGGAATGGGTTGACAAGAATGACCCAGGATCTCATATCATTCCATTCTCTGGCGCTTTCGAACAAAAACTCTTGGAAGAATATTCAGATCCAGCACTTAGGAAGAAGTTTTTGGAAGAACATAACACTACTAGGTAAGATATTTTGACACAACCATTTTTTGAAAAATTATGCGTTATAGCTCGCAATTTGGTACGTTAACCTTTTTGAAGGACCAATCGCAAACGATACCTTTACCTCTCTAAATCGATAAAGCAGCAACACGCTCTCAACTAGTTGCGGTCATACCGATAATATATCGTTTTCCTGCTGCTAGAATGCAGTGATGCCAGGTCTAGGTATATGTCCCCAGTTCTAGGGACAATTAACTCAAATAATAGAAATATGAAGACCCTCCATGTCATTTAAAAAAAATGTTACTAGATGTACCCCAGCCGCTATCATAAAATTTTCAGTTATTATTTTTATGTTAAAATACAGGCTTTGTCCGGAAAGTAATAGGACTCATTTTCTTCCGCCATGACTGTTCGTCGGAGCGTGCGCGCACCGACTGGATTCGGTAGAGGGCGTTCCTAGCTAACGAATGAGCGGCTGGTCAGTTGTCTCCGAGCACTTGGAGAGTCAGGACAGGCATTTTCGCGCAAGCTGAAAATGCAGCGTTCGTTAGAGCAGAGGTACGTGATTAAATTCTGTGTGAAACTCGGTAAATCTGAGACAGAGACGTTTGATATGATCAAGCAGACTTACCCAGGTGTTGCTTTAGCAAGAAGTGGTGTGTTTCGGTGGCATCAGGCCTTTTTGGAAGGCCGGGAAGAGGTCGCTGATGAAGACCGTGCTGGAAGACCTTCGACTTCGACAAACACCGATAATGTGACTCGTGTGCGGAAAGTTTTGAACTCAGACCGACGACTAAGTATTCGTTTAATTGCCCAGATGTTAAATTTACCAAAATCTGTGGCTCATGACATTGTGGCACATCATTTGAACATGCGCTAGGTGTGCGCGAAGATGGTCCCAAAAGTGCTCACTGACGACCAGAAATTGCGGCTAGTGGAAGTGTGCCAAGAAAATTTGAACATGTGTGAAAGTGACCCCCAATTTTTGAATATCGTAATCACAGGTGACGAGTCGTAGATCTTTGAGTATGATCCCGAGACAAAGAGGCAATCTTCCGAGTGGCACACGACGGCGTCTCCTCGCCCAAAAAAGGGAAGAATGAGCAAATCCAAAGTGAAAACGATGCTCATTGTCTTTTTTGACATCTAAGGCATCGTCCACCATAAATTTGTTCCTCCTGGACAAACCGTCAACGCCAGGTTTTACGTGGAAGTGCTCAGGAGACTCAAACGAAGGGTCAGTCAGGTCCGACAAGACATCGCAGCCGACTGGAAGTTGCACCACGACAACGCCCCTGTTCACACCGCCTTTCTTGTGAACAGCTACCTGACCAAGGCCGGCATCCCAACGCTTCCGCAGCCGCCCTACAGCCCAGATGTGCCCCCCCCCCCCCCCCGGACTTTTGTTTGTTTCCTAGCCTCAAAGGGCCGTTGAAAGGCAAGCATTTTGAGACGACAGAGGGGATCCAAGCAGCATGCACCGCGGCTCTCAAGGCTATTCCGGAGAATGCCTTCCGTGACGCCTTCAATGCTTGGAAATCGCGCTGGCAGCGCTGCATCAACGCAGAAGGAGCCTATTTTGAAAGTTTTTAAAGAATTGTAACGATTGGCTCAATTAATTTTTTTAAATCGACTCAGTCCTATTACTTTTCGGACAAACCCTGTATAGTATTTATACCTCAATTATGCCACTCTGCATTTTAACTTCCTAGCTTGCCGCGATCAAAGAATAAGTAGAGGAAGAACTTCCTAAAAAGCACGATAGATGATTATTGTGTGATGGGTTATAAAATATATGGAAACAAACGTACTTTACTTCAAAGCAGAAACATAACTCTTTTGCAATTTAACTAGTTAATTTTTATCAACTTTCCTACAATGTTTTTTTAATCTGTTTATCTTCTATTTTTACTATTTGTTAAAATGCATCACTTCAAGAAGTCTAATAAAAGTATCAATAAAACTTTTATTGTTTTCACATCACGAATGTGAATATCTAAAATGTATAATATATGCTACAAATATGTATTTCATCAACGGTTGATTGAATATAATCAATTAAATATTGGGATAAAAGACCAGAACATTTGACAATATTCAAAGAAAATTGAGGAATGTAACGATTATAGCTTGCCCAGCATATGCATCATGTGGCTTGAATTTGCTAATTCTAAGTTGTTTATGATTAATCTGTTTATGTAGCCAAACATGCTAAATAAATCTTTCTACTACTACTATTACTTAACTTAAAATATAAAACTTTATAAATTTCCTTAACATTGCTCAAAATAGATAGTTGCCAGTTGTTTAGGGGCAAAATGATATCTTAAGATTATCAAAAATTTTGAAAAAAAAAAACTTGAAGATAAGACTACAATGTTATGTTTATCCCCCTTCAATGTTCTTACGTTATGACCATTTACGATCTTAAAAACATAATTATGCAAGTTGGACATATCACCGCCACGATTTTTTTGACATCCCCCCTCTATAAAAACATACCTTTTGATGTATGTATGTAGGTATGCGTTGGAGGTGTTAAATAGTGATATTAAAAAATATTAATTCAAATATCTGGGTATACGAGCAGGTACCCAAGAATAACCGGAATAGGATTGCAGTGGGCGGAGCTTGTGTGGTACACATTTCTGAAACTGTTTTAATGTTGATTTAATCTTGAAAATAGCTTACAAAGATGATGCTATAGTAAAAACTCAGTTTTACGAGTTGTTTAATCGATTTAAAAATGGCGACATGTCGATTGATGATAAACCTTGCTCTGGACGTCCATCAACTGCCCGAATCGACGAAAATGTTGAAAAAATTCGAGAGCTTGTGCTATTTGGAGGTTTTAAGACAATTGCGAAACAGTGTTCGGCAAAAAAGACTCGATTTGTGCCAGTCAGGAGACTGGTTTCTCCACCACGACAATGCACCCGCGCATACAGCCATCTCTGTTCGACAGTTTCTGGCTAAAAATGGCATGGTTCCGCTGCCTCACGCACCTTATTCGCCTAACCTGGCTCCGTGCGACTTTTTCTTATTTCCACGGATGAAAAAGGCCATGAAAGGACGCCGCTTTGGTGACATTGAAGAGGTCAAGAAAAAAACGAGGGAAGAGCTGTCAGATATTTCTCAGGAAGACTTAAAAAATGTTTCGAGCAGTGGAAGCATCGGTGAGACAAGTGTAGTGGACAGTATTTTGAAGGAGATAATATTACTTTGTGAAAACGTTGAAAATTAATAGCTTTTAATAAACAATTCCGTTTTTTTTTTGATACCCCCTCGTATGTAGATAGTAAACTACTGTTTCAAGAGCATTTTGATTACATTATTCAAAAAATATCATAAAAGATAAATTACTTTCATACAGTTTACAGCAAATGGAAACATATTTTCAAAATTAAGCTATGAGAAGTATTTTAAATAAAAACAAATATGCTAAGGTCAAGTCTATGCCAGAAGAACTGCAGTGGTTGAATGTAAAAAATGTATATGTTATTCAGTTCTCATTTTCATATTCAGATCGAAAAATCATTTATTACCACCACTTTTAGAAAAGTATTAAATATGTAATATATTAAGTTATACTCGTATTGTCATTATCATAACTACGTTACTAGAGTCAGTATAGATTTTCACATGCAAAATTTTAACAGCATAACTAACAAATCTGTATTTCAAAAGGGAGTATTTGAATTTAATAGATTGAATAATGATGATGATGATAACAGTGATCTAATTTAAAAATGTTCATTTTCAGGTGAAATAAAAAAATCACTCAATGAATACCCAAAATGCATGGCGATGTAATTTTGATAGACAAAAATGTAAAATCACAGAATGATTAAAAAAATATGTAAAAGAGTAATTATACAAAATTGACATTCTAGCATTAATGCTAAACAAATCTTAACACACAAGCAAACAAAGAAGGTCCTGTGTTGAGTGTCAAATGTCATTTCTTATGCCCAATTTAATGAGGAATGTCGAAACTCAATTTAAAATCTCGCCCGCGTATGACAAATCCATTGTGAATGGTCTGAGTCGCTAGGTAATGTATCTTTTCTAGACTTCTCGCTGGTAATCATAGGTTCCAAGATGATATTTGCTGCAAGCGCATGGGACCAGGGGGTCATTTCAGACGAAAATAACGAAGAACATTGGAAAATATGATACACCATTACGGCGTGATTATCCCCCTAATTTTTTCATTGTGTGACCAAGACCGCCGTTCAGTCGCAATCTTTCTGTTATAAAAGGAGACATCTAACCAGCAACGTAGACTGAAATGTTGTATTAGGGGCTTCGTTAGCTCTGTGAATAATCTCTCTCTCTATATATGTATATATATATAAATCTGAATGTAAAGCCCCGTTTCACCATAATATTTAATCCAGAGTTAAAACATAATCGCAGATTCACTGGTAGAACTCATATCATCATAATCGTCATCAAAATTCACTGATTATTTTTATCTTCGATTAGATAATTCGAGATTAGAATGGTTTTGATGAAACTGAGCATACTAATTGATACCCGAGGAATCCATCAAGCCGGCAATAGCGCCGCAGCTATGCAATTGAGAGACTGTCGAAAGTCGGTAGTTCATAGATGGACTAATGAGATTCAGCTATGAAAAAGTGCTGAACCAGTCGCCATGTGAATGGCAAGTGACCACTCGAATCCAACTCAGGACTTCAGCGCCACTCCTAAAGCTCTGTCATTGATGATGAATACGTGTCAATGTCCCTGCTGATCTACGTACCTCATCTGCAATAATGATGGCTGAGTACGTTGGCGGCTTTTTGGTCTTCAGTTGCTGCTCACATTTATCTGATTTCTATTTAGGATTGACTTACTTGGTCAGACCTACACCGAAGAACAAGATATCAATGGAAGCCTCTGTCAGAGTACTCCTGAATTATTTGCTTTAATGTGAATATCGACCAGCATGCGCCCCTCTCCCTTCTTTGAACTTAGACGAGAGAGTATTGCCACTTGCAGTTAATGAACTA